CAGGAATATGTTAATTAAATAGTGAATTAAGGTTCAGATATTTTATTCTTAAGCAGGAATATGTTAATTAAATAGTGAACTAAGGTTCAGATGTTTTATTCTTAAGCTTGCCAGCAGATTTGCTGTCTATCATGAATGGAAAAGCAGCAAGCACATAATTAGGGAGAGTTTCAAACAAAGTGGGGCTAATGAATGAGTGCCTGGTAATCAGTGTGTGCTACACTGAAAGGTGTTGTGACAGGTGACTGCTGGTTTCTTTTAGATTTGATACAGCTGTCAGTGTTGTAGAGTGAGACACAGCATTTTAATGCAGCCAGGAGACAGAAGGGCTACTGCATTAGCTGTGAGAGTACTTGGGTAGTTTGGAAACACATCCCAGTACAGTAGTCCTAATTTCACCATAACTCTTCTGGCAGGTAAATTACTAAGTGCTGATATCAAATCTTTCTGATCAGTTGACTGTGTTCTCACAAAGGCTTATTCCATCTTTCTTACAGTATGCCTGGGAGGGAAAATTGCCATTCTATCATTTTGCACCAGTTGCTGAAGTCTGCTACCCATTTCCTGAAATCGGCTCTCATGAGGTTTGATTTTGAGGTTTTTCTGCCCTGTAGCAAATATGCAAAGGTAAGTTTTCATCTGTCATTCAAAATTACTGAAGTCATTAAGTAGAAAGAATATGCATTTAAAACAGTAAAGAGAAATAAACGCTAACAAGAACTGAGACCCAGCTACTAGCTAAAATCTCCATGTATTGGCCTCTCCCTTCTTGGCAAAAAAACGTTCATGTGTTGAAGTGTCCTTTAACTCTCTGCTTTGCTTGAGCTCAAATTTGCATTGTTGGGAGCTGGGCTTGGGGTTTTTTTGAGTCAATTTTAAACCAGAATTAGTGTGGTCTGTAATATTTTGCTCTGGAGGAAAAAACACAGAAGAAGCACTAGGTATGTGATGTACTCCAAGAATATTTTTAAAAGGAATCTCAAGGTCCACCTTCCTCACCCTCTCTGCAGCCGGAAATTGGCCCAAGACTTGCCTCTCCTTTAGCTTTTCGGCAGCACTCCATTGTGACTATAGTTAACAGTCCTCCTAGTTCCCCTTGACTGATGCAAGCTGTCTCCCATGACTCTCCCCTTCCTGCAAGCCAGGGAGTAACACGCTTCCTTCCCCTACTACAGGAGCCTGTTGTTCTAAGCTGTCTGGTTCTAGCAAAGATCCAAAATGGGTCTGACTTTTAACCCAAAATGAAGAACAGCTGTTAAATTCACCAGTCACAAGAATGTTCAGCTGAACTTGCAGCTGTATGTTAGAAATACTCCTGATTTACACTGCATCTAAGGATTGACCTTTAAACTGTGAAGCAGGCTTTTCCTAATTTAGGTGAGTGTGCTTATGCAATATCCACATTCTCCTGTGTTTTGCTTCATTGCTAGTGAGTCCTGTTGTTGGTTTCAGTGGTTTTCAGGGTAGGTGGTATGCCATCGTTCAGAAATAATCCAGAGTTCACCTCCTTCTCCCTTGCAGCTCTCAAAATAGATTTAGTTAAGAACGGTAGTTTTCTTTTACCCTTCTCTAATGTGGGACCTATGGCTGCTAGACAGCAGATAAAAAAAATATATTTGCTTTGTTTACATGCATGAATTGGCTTGTTCAAGGTGAAGTTGTGTGGAGATTCAATGGTTTATAAAGTTGGTGATTCACTGCACTTCCCCTTACCCTAAAAGAGAGATTTCATTGTAACATCTGCATTTGTGTCAGGAACAAATTTGAATGTAGGCCTAAACCTGGCTTTAAGCCACTTCCTAAAGATATATTTTAATGAAAGTGTCTCTCTGAAACCTGGGGGGGAGAAAACACACAAAAACCACAAACCAGAATCTGGTGTGTCCTAGAGGTCACCTGAGGTTTTCACATTTTATTACTGCTATCTCCAAAACTGATCTCTGATCTTCTAATTTCCTTCCTTACCTGTTCATGGTAGTTTAAATCACTGTGGAACGCGATTTATGGGAATTTGTGGGATTATTATGGAATTTATGGAATGTGACTAATGGGAATTTATTTCAAATAAAATATTTGATTAGTACTCAATAACTAAAATTGTTGGTTATTTTAATTGTTTCCTGAGCTTTGTAGATCCTTAGCATTTATGAAAATGTAGGACAAAATAGAGGAAATAAGAAAAGCGCAAATTTGGACTTTGACCTAAATCACGATTATCATTTCATACTAGCTCTGCTGACTGTAGTGTTTAACTTTTACTGTCCACCTGTAGAATTATCTTATTTAAGTGAAGGGGAGAACAGATGTTGTTGCTCTTATCAAGTATCTTTGTTTTTTTTCTTTTGTGTTCGCTATTTTTAGCTCTCAGCTATCTGGCTGTATTTGTCCTCTAGCCTATTCATTTCTCCCCTAAGCTTATCTTGATTTATTCTCTCATAGTGACAACTAACTTATTACACTATCCAATTTGCTGAAATTTCAGGGAAATTCACATCTGTGGGTCTGTGACTATCCTCTTCCCACGAGCTGCAGAAGAGGAGCCCGCCTGTGTACGGGACTTGTGGCAAGGCAGAACTGGCTCTGTTACACTCATGTTTTCAGTCTCATTATATCAAACCCTTTCTCATAACAGTCAAATAACAGCCCACAAAAATGAACAACTTATTTAAAAAAAAAATCAGTGTGATAAGATAAAGGTTTCAGCCAGGTTAAAGCTCTGCAGGGAGCACTGGCCTCTCATTTTCCTTGGTTTGGGAGACTCACTCATGTGGCCAAGTGATGTGTTGGAGAGAGGAAGATTGCAGTACCAAACAAATGAAGTTAACTAATGAGCAGTCTGGCAGAAATTGATGGTGGAATTTTTGTGAAGGAACTACCAAAATGCTATATGCACTCCATTGTTTTATGAGGCCAGTGGTAGTACAGCATTCAAACACTGCAATCAAGCTGTAGATTTTACTTTTTTCATGTTTCTTCTCTGGGATCTTTTGGATCTCTCTCCCACTGATTTTATAAGAGGCCTATAGTAATTCTTCATTGCGTGTGATAAATATGATAAATATGTACTTTTCCTGAGAAAAAAACTATAGGAAGTCCTGTAGATTTTGTAGACCCATGAACTGCAGATATCCAGTAAATTTCAGGGGTTTTTTTTAAACCTGAAGTTGTTGATAAATCTGTCCTCACAGTACAATCAATGAAATTGCGATTTTCTTCTTGTGCTGTAAATGAGATAGGCCCTCTTCTACTGTTCACAGAGTGTTTATTCAACTGGTAGGTGAATATATTCGTGCAAGTAATTAAAAGAGCTGTTGAGAAAACCTGCATCAGTTCTGCTGTGTATTCCTTTGCCAAAATGACTACCTGTATTTTCATCATATTCTTGTTACCTTACATGTTTCTTACATGTAAACTCTTTAGTTTGTTCATTAACAAACAAGTAAATAGAAATTGTAAAAAGAGTAGACTAATGCAGTTTATTTGTAGAACTATTTGTGAATAGTGTCAGTATGTTCATTCAGCTGTATCCCTGTGGGATGATATAATCCTGCATATTGTACTGGTGAGTCCTCTCTTGACAGTAGAAAACAGTCTGCTGTCAAACAGCTGCCATTTGCCATTGCGTATTGAGCTGCATTTCCTTCTCAATTAAAAAAAAATAAAACAAACCAAAAGAACCCCAAAAAAACAAAACCCCAAACAAAGATGTTTTGAGCATAGGTTTTGAGAAGTCCTTTCTATGATCTCCCATACTACTTCATCCAGCTCTTTCCTCTGACAGTTCCCCTTCTGTCCCACCCTGGACATCTGATTCCAGTTCATCTGCACTGTCAGGAATCCCTGGTATGAGGATCCATAGGTCATCTTGGGATAAATTATGAGAGAAGGACCAACACGTTGCAAATGAACGCTGTATCTTGTTCAACCCAATGTGTTTTCCGAACCACTGAATAAAACCCCCCAGGATCCAGAGGAGGCTACAGAACAAAAAGCAGCTGACCCTTAGTTTATGGCAATGCTGGGAAGGGAAGCAGGGGGATGAAAGAGAGGACCAGTAGCTGCCTAAGTTCTCCTCTAAATCTAGTCAATAATAGAATAAAATAGTTCAGTTGGCAGGGATCTACAACAGTCATCTAGTCCAACTGCAATATTCAGTGGCCACTGTGCTAAATAATCTCTTCTCCCCTAAGAACTGTTTAAGTGGGCACATGATAGCTAGGCACACACTTCTGACACCACTGCTTGAAAAGCCTGGAGTTTCTTCTGCAGGTAAACAGAGCCTCGAGTATCTGTAACATTTCTTCATTTACATTTCAGGCACTTCTTAACAAAAGCAGCTCAGACAAGTTTATGAAAAGAGCTAAAATAATTCCTGATTACTACAAAACGTAAAGCACTTCCAAATTCCTAGTCCTGTTTTGAGAAAGTAGATTAATTTGGGCTGTCATTTAACATGCCAGCCTTTATCCTGATACAAATATGCATAGCTAAAAAATAGAACTTTAAAAAATGTTTTTTCAACTTTAAATTACAGCAGACTCCTATTCTAGCAAATGTAACAACGTTCCAGTATTTTGAGGTAACTCACACTGGAACACTAATTCTCATATCTTACCAGCAAAATCAACACATTTTTCTCATCTAATAAGAGAGAACTAGAAAGTGCATTACTCATATTCATGGGACTTGAGGAAAGACATGCTTATTTTTTTCCTTTTATCCCCTAATTCTCATTTATTACATGAGCAGTATCGGTCCCCACACTAGACAGCCTATTTAAAAAAAAAAAAAAAAAAGGCATTAAATTGCATATTTGTACTGAGCTTATCTTACCGCTGTGTTCTTCTCAGGCAAGTTTTCCGGTTGTGACTCT